ATAACACTCACGTCATATGTATCTAACGTTGTGGTGTTGATGCATTTGTTGCAGGTGGCGTCGGTGATACCGCGCATGGTGACCGTGCAGGGACTGTTCGTGGTCGTCCAGACACTGTACTTGTCGGCCGTATCGAAGCCGTTTGTGGTGGTGAAGATGTGAGTGGCTCAAGCGCTATAGCGGCTAGTGTTGAAGGCCACAATAAAGCTGGTGAAGGTGAGCGAGGTTACCGATATGATCTCACTGTTCGTAGATAACGTTGGAATGTTGCAGGTGGAAATGAGAGTTGTAGTGGCGCGGGACCAGCAGGCCGATTCGGTGATGGTCGTGGTCGGCGCTGTGGTCGAGATGCTGCCCAAAGTCGATACGAGCCGTACGGTGGTAGCTGTGTCCATATGTTGCACGGTATGGAATGCAGTCAGTGTGGCGTCTATAGCAGTTCTGATTTTAACCAACGTGAGGACACTGTGCATGTAGAGGGCATGCTGGGAGCAGGAGAAGTTGCATGCGCGACTAACGCTGGCGCCAGACTTGGTGAAAGACCTGATGTAGATACTAGTGTCCTTGTTCGTGGTGGAGATGCAAATTTTGAGTTGGTCTCTCGGGAAGGCTTTGGTTCTCGTGGAGGTCGTGGTTCTCGTGGAGGTCGTGGTTCTCGTGGAGGTCGTGGTTCTCGTGGAGGTCGTGGTTCTCGTGGAGGTCGTGGTTCTCGTGGAGGCCGTGGTTCTCGTGGCGGTCGTGGCGGTTGTGGTTCTAGTGGCGAGCGTGGTTCTCGTGGCGAGCGTGGTTCTCGTGGCGGGCGTGATTCACGAGGAGGTCGTGGTTCTCGGGGAGGCCGGACTGGGCGTGGCGGTAATACAATCACACATCCTTCTAGTGTCTCAGGTGCTTCCACAGAACCAGGTATGAATAATCTTGCAATGATTGGGGTGTTGGTAAAAGGCTAATCAGGGGATATATGTTTGTGTTAATGTTGTAGCTGGTGCGACAGATCGAAGTATCAGTGATCTCGTAACACCAGGTGAAGGTGGTGCGGCCAGTGTCGGTTTGGTGAACGCACCGGCGGTGCTGGAGTCCCCCGCGGCGCCACCCTCGGCCGTTAGAATGAACACACCAGCTACTGGGGCAGCAGCGGCTTCCCAAACGACTCCTCGTACAACCCCGGTTTTGCTTCATGAACTGTACGTGGATAAGTTGGTCGCTTTTACACCTGACAAAGAGACGTGGATGAAGGCCAAATCATACAAGCCCATTGGGACGTCATACATCATTGGCCGAGTGTATCGACACGTGAAAAAGGGGAAGAGTGCTAGACTTTTCCAGATACGTTGGTTAGACAGCCAATTTCAAAACACAGTCGAAACTGTCGGAGTCGGAATTGTTCAACGTGGAGTGAAAAACTACGTCGCCCTAACACGTGTGCGGAATCCAAATTGGCGTGTGCTGGTAGAACCTGACCCTACGGATGTGATCGACATCGGTGCAGATAATTCTGACCTTGAAGAAGAAGAGATTGAAGCTTTTGATCCTGGTAGCGTTCTCCCATCCAGTCTGGCAGAGGTGGAAGCTATCCAGAACATGCGATTCGTGCCCAGAGAGGACGTGGAGGCACCTTCGTACTTGTACGTGCATGCTGACGGTACAACCAAGACCTACGTCCGCCCTGAGTTTAAGCACATGTTTGAACACTCGGCAAGCTCAAGCTTCTTTGCCTACATACCCATCTATTTCTGGCGCCAAGTGGTACACGAGACCAACAGATATGCCACCGTGAACGACATTCGTATCATCAATCCTTTTACGTTGGACGAGATGATGGTTTTTCTGGGGATTCTATTTTACATGACCACGAACGATAAGGGAGAGTACGCAAACTACTGGGGGCCACAAACGGAAGATCTGATTTTTGGTGGTTCCACAACGTCGTTGGACTCGGTGATGTCGCTCTATCGGTTCAAGTTGCTACGTCGTTGCCTCAGTTTCAATGCAGCACCAACGACGCTAGCAAATGATGCTGCCGCACGAATTAGGCCGTTGCTGAACCTGCTCAAAATCACAGGAGGCCAATACGTTCATGTTGGTCGCGACGTCGCTTTAGACGAAGCCAGTGTTGCCTGTCGCTCGCGGCAAGGTCGGCACATGATCGTGTACAACCCCACAAAGCC